ACATTTCCAAGACTGTGGCGAGAGAAGCGCATCGGATGGCGGACAAGGCTCTACGAGAACACTTTGCGCAACCTTTACCTCAACCTGCTATCCTGCGCGAAGATGCCGCGCCCGCCTTGGCGCCGCCCATTGCCGTGCCTGCGCGCGCACCGAACAAAGCTGCACCGGCCGCGGTGGAGGAGATGGAGCTCAAGGAGCGCAAAGCCGAGCAGTGAGCAAGGTGGGGGGGGAAGGTGGGGATGTTGAGAGACGAGCGGATCAGTAGGATGTAGCTTTCTTGGTTTTTTTGCTTCCTCGAGCGTCAACGCAATGCAGAATCCATGAGCGTATGAAGGGGGGACGGGACCCATCGGCGCGCGTGCTTGATGTGGAAAGCTCTCTCGCATTTTCAAAGGCTGCTTGTCTCGTCAAGCCGTGATCTTGGCTTATGCGCAGGGATAGCCGATGAGGATATGTTAGTGACGAGGAGGATAATTATTGCAATTACTTTCTTCGCGACAGAATGTAGAGGGGAGATGAGCGCGTGGGTGAGGGAGCGTATCGAAGAAGGCGATCTAGAATTCTTTGGGGGCAGGGCGAACATGCGCAACGTGCGAAAAAGACTCGACACTGTTCCCCTACAAAACCGCTGAAGAATTCACATAAAAGCAAGTCGAGTTGGATAGGCCGGCCAGATCGAACGAGCAGCCTCAGTCGTGCGTCTCGGGCTTGCAGATGAAGCGCTTTTCTTCCCCATTCAACTCTGGATGCGCGGGGGCCAGGCCAGGCCAGGCCCCGAAACCCTGCCTGCCTGTCTGGCTCGCTCGCTCGCTCGCCGCCAAGAACTCTTATCCATCTCCTTCGCAGCTGCTGCTGCTCCCTTGTCCGTCTCCAGCTTCAGCTGCATCTTCGCACGCAAGACGATGGCCGGCAGTGCTAGAGCCAGCGACGATGGAAGCAGCAGCGGCAGCATCCGCCAACAAGCTCAACCTTCCTCCCGTGCCCCTTCTTCTCGTCGGCAACTTTGCGTGCGCGTGCGCGTGCGCGTAATGTAGCTGGCTGCTGCTGCTGCT